CGGTCAGTAGAATTTTGGGGCGTGGCCAAACCTGCAGCGAGCGGTACCTCCTTTACTGTCGAATGTCCTGCTAGCGAGGCAGATTACAAAGTTTTCTGCGGGCGCTTGTCAAATAATCTCTTTCAGCAAGCGCTGGCCAAACTTTCAGCAAGTGCTCGGACTCTTTTTAAGCAGTTTCGGGTGTACGTCGAGCAAATGTGAGACTCTATGCTGCAGAGGTGTCATCGACGCTTTAGTTATCAAGTTTGAGGTACTTTCTCTTGGCGGAAAGTACCTGAGGGCTGTGCGGTCCTCCACAAAGGACCGTGCGGACCCCTACAATCTTGCATATTCTCGCAGAAAGTCCGCAAGAATGCGGTTGAAGGGCCCTCACATGTTTGAACACGATAAAATGAGGAGTTCTCTTGTCTCCTAAGGCTAGGTTCATAGTGTTCCGTATGCTCCGGAACAGTTCTAGCACAACGCACAACTTGAGCGCTGTGCTGGAACTGTTGCGGAACTTACGAATTAGTACGAATTCAGCCTAATAGATCTAAAGGGATTCGTAAGCATTTTCTTCGTTTAAACTACGTTTTGGAACGTGAATTCGCACCTCATTTCCTATCTTATAAAGGGATGATAACAAAATGCAGTGGCATCGAAAAAATATGTACAGGTGTCCCGCAGTTTTTATGCCAGCTTTGCTACTCTGTAACTTTGTTGTTATTCGGATTCAAACCAAATCTTGCGAGTCGGTTTGTCGCAAAGATGGCATTACTTCATCAACAAAGTGGCATTGCTTCATAAATTTGATGTGCATCGTACATTCCCAGGTGACGTTTTTCGAGAAGAAAAACAGAAGAAATGTAATGAAAAAAAATGTAAAAATGTAATCTGCGCCCTGTCAATAGCTTAAAGCAATGGATTACAGCGTGTATATACTCAACGTCAACTAACTGATTTAAATTGACTAGTTGTTTCAAATTTCAGATTTCGTGCTCGATGCACTCGAATTACTTAAGGATGAATTGCTTTTACCGCCTGCAGAATGTGCTAGAATTCACAGAATATAAATTTCACCATGTAAATGACAGAAAATATTCCGTGCAAGTTTAGATACTGGACTGATTTGGGGGAGAACGAAGCTCACAGAAGAAAAAGATTTGATGCGCCATCAGAAGCGCGTCAGACGGGGCAGTACATAGACGCGCGGCAATCGGCAGGGCATTGTAAGTTTTTCATGCTTCATCTCAAACTACTCAGACAATCGCATCGGGAAGTTCGCGGATGCTTGCTCGACCACCAATCATCCATGCCGCGAGCTGGAAGGTGAACTCACATTAGACCCGATAAGTGACCGCGGAGCATCCTGTAAGTGCTCTTTAAGCACCTATAGCTGACGCGATTAGCATGCTTGTAAGGCCAAGGAAGAGTGAAAAACTATTCAGTCTGTCTTACGATGGCGATTTGAGTGCAAATTGAGCAACTTTTTAGGTCATCTGTCGACATCATCTAGTGCCGTCGATGACACCCATCCGGCTGCTGAAGTGTACTCTATAAGCATAGAAACTCAACTCTGTCAGATAGAACCAAATCCGAGAGGCGAGACCCAGCATCATAAACACTTAGGTTAGCCTCATCGCTGCGGCGTACCTCACGCGGGTTGCGCCTTAACCTACAGCGTGTAAGAAGTGCGACCTTTGATAAGGCCCGCGGCCCGCCGAATGAGGTGGTTGGGCCGCGACCGTCCCGATAATCTCTTCCCAATTTCAACTTTGGCCGTTGCCGGTAAAATGTACATGAGCCGGCGTGCGGGACTGGCGGCGTGTCATGTAACAGTTTTGAGGCCGCAAACTTCCCGATGCAAACTGTCTGAGTAACTGCTCTGTCTCGCCCGAGTAGGTGTAAAAAGTTCCTGTGGAGGGTACTAACATGCACAGAAGCAGTATTAGCTGAGCGGGCGCGAACGCGATGCGCGTGTTCTCCACAGTTGTAGATGTTGCGCCTCATGCGCTCTGCGGCTGATAAAGTCGCATTCGCGCCCAATGAATACTGCGCCTTCGTCATGCAGCAGCCTCATAACTATTTTGTCGCCAGATTTAGATTCTTAGCAGGTTAACTCAAAATGACCAAAGTATAATAGAAATAATTTCATGCCATTGTTTTATCTCAAAAGGCACATCTCATTAGAGAGCGGCAGAGAGCTTCTTCTATCTGGCAAAATTAATTATGTGCAAAACTACTGAGAGTCAAGAAGTTATTATTTTCGAAAATGAGGTGACAGGACTTTTGCACCAACCTAAAATGTATACAAGGTATCTCAAAGAGATGTGCTTATGGTTTGCTTGTTAATAAGTCGCTTGCTTCGAATTCTCTAGCCATTCTTTGGGTACCGTTTGCTTGTTTGAACTTACTTTGATTCTCTGTACGGAAGGAGACTCTAATCTCTTTTCGCTACCGCAGAATTTCGGTATGAATTTCTGGTTTATTGCGCCATCAGGAATTAAGCCCTCTGATGAAAAAGTTCCAAACGTCTGGAAAATTGTTTTCAAGCAAACCGATTTTATGAAACAACTTTTCAGCCATATATAAAGCTTGTCTGTTTGCCTGTCTGTATGTCTGTCTGTCTGTCTGTCTGTATGTCTGTACGTATGTTCCGAATAGAAAATTCCATTTCTGAACCGATCCGGACCAAACTTGGCACACATACACTTCAGGCCCCGGCGGGTGTCATAGGCTATCTTCGTCATCGATCGATATCGATTTTATCGATTTTTATCGATTTTTTGCAGAGTTCACCTACGGGGCTGGGAGTTGGCACAGGGGGTAATCGAGCATGGGGATTCCGAACAAAATACTAGTTTCCAGGATCGTCGATTACTTTTATCGATTTTATCGATCTTTGCAAAGTTTGAGCTACGAGGCTGGGAGTGTGCACAGGGGGGTAATAGTGCATGGGGATTCCGAATACAATATTAGTTTTCAGGATTATCGATTACTTTTATCGATTTTATCGATTTTTTTGCAAAGTTTGAGCTACGGGGCTGGGTGTTTGCACAGGGGGGTAATCGAGCATGGAAATTCCGAATACAATATTAGTTTTCAGGATTATCAATTACTTTTATCGATTTTTTTGCAAAGTTTGAGCTACGAGGCTGGGAGTTTGCACAGGGGAGTAATCGAGCATGGGGATTCCGAATACAATGTTAGTTTTCAGGCAGATTACTTTTACCGATTTTATCGATTTCTTTGCGAAGTTTGAGCTACGGGGCTGGGAGTTTGCACAGGGGGGTAATCAGGCATGCGGAGTCCGAATACAATATTAGTTTTCAAGATTTTCGATTACTTTTATCGATTTTATCGATATTTTTGCAAAGTTTGAGCTACGGGGCTGAGAGTTTGCACAGGGGGGTAATTAAGCATGCTGATTACGAGTTCGATATTAGTTTGGCGCTATTCGGCTAACCGGGCCCCAAAATTTTCTGTCGTAGAGCTTGCTCAGATTCGTGTATAAGGGTTATCTTACCTGCTGATTACAGATATCACACTTTCGTCGCAGAAAGTCTCCCCATGTGGTTACGATAGGTGTACGGTAGGAAGTCAAAATCAATTCGGCTGGAGTTCGGTCCAGAGAACTTGTTCGACATGCTGATTACGAATTTCATAGTCTCTCTGCATATTGGGACCTCTTTATAGAGTTAGGGTGATTATATACGGTGTGGGGTCGAAAACATTGATTTGCTTCAAACTTTGTCTAGGGTGGTCATTTAGCGCGCTGAACATAAATATCATGTTGATTTCGCAGGATGGTGCGTTTTCTTGGGTTACGGTGGGTGTAGATGGGTCGAAGTTCCAGATTTGCTCAAAACCTTACCTGTAACGGTTCACAAGTATACTGCTTATGAATATGAAACTTGCTCGCTGTCATAACGCATTAGTGAAGTTATGGTGAGTTGCAGGATTTGAATGGACAGGGCCAATTTAGATCCCAGATATTCACGAAATGGGGAAACGGTCGTTTTGCATGGCGGTCTCCAGCGCCATCCTGATAACCTGTCCCAACGTGTAACGCACGCGGCAAATCTCCCTCCCCCTGGTTTGCTTAGGCAAAAGCCGCCGAAGGATGTATCGCGCGCGGCAGTGGTCCTATAAGGAAAGCATTACGGTCGTGGGAAACTTTTATACCACACGAATTGCCTTTATCGCGGGGATTGAGCACGATATTCTAACAGCACTTTAGGTAATTCCCTGCCAAGGTTTCAGGCAGGTTTATGATTTTTACCCGCTGCCACGCGATGACTATGATATTGTCATCAGCGGCTCAAATAACCCCCATATACCGAGTTTGAGCAAGATCCGTCACAAAAACATTTTGGGGCCCGGATAGCCGAATAACGCCATCAGTTTTTAGAATTATCCTTACTTATATCGATTTTATTGTTTTGTTTTTGTGCAAAGTTTGAGCTACGGGGCTGGGGGGTTGGTGAGAAAGGTAGGTGAGCATACTGATTACTCACGCAGCGGGAATAGGGAATGTAGAAGTGGGCACAGGTAAAGGTGTACAGGGATAGAAATGGAACCTTTATCGTTTTTGAAAGGGCCAGGCGGAGCCGGGTAAGCCAGCTAGTTAGAAAATGATCATAACTCCATTCCAAGTTCTCGTTTCGCAGGTATGGAAAACAGTATTCGAACCAGCATTAGAAGGCGCATTTTTTGATATACAAACCATTATGAATGGCCGGGGCCACCAAGTATCGTTCCCTGTTTAGCCAAATCATTGAATTTCTACCGCAAAAAATTCCCCAACTCCCCCAGAAGCGCTTTGCAGATACCAAAAGCAGATTTGGAATTAGTGCTGAATGCTCTATAAGATAATATACATCTCATATGGAAACGCCAGTTTGACCAGGTATCCTTTCCTTGTTAGATACAAAGGGAAATAGGTTTCTGAGCGAAAATGTGATATGGTACAACAACACTCTAAATTCCAGTGTCGAAACAACTCGGGCTCTTCTTATCGACCAGTCATTAGCTTCGAAAGCATAAAGTTACAAATACCAGCAATTTAGTCTCACAAAATGCACCAAATATAGCTGACAGAACACTTCAATGCAGTTACGCTGCACAGTCAATTTTGGAAAATTTCACGCATGTGACAATGTAATTTTAATGAAACACAAATTATTATGATCATCATGAGCAAACCGGTGAAGCTGTTTGTAATAAACAAAAACGAGATAATACAAAGAGACCCTCAAACAAAAATAAGCACTTTGAACGAATAAATTGGACAGGTCTCTCGTGCAGTACAATTAACTGTGAAACAATTCGAATATAGCCTTATATAATAAACTCTTGAAACAAGTGTGAAAGAAACAAGCATCTTCTGATAGAAATCTGTGGGGACCAATACACCTTAAAAGAGCGGTAGATGGCCATTGGATATTTCTATGAATTAAAAAATTTCACTAGTTTTAGAAGTGAAACAAGAGTTTGATATCCAAAAAATAGTTATATATCCTATGAGCGCACTCTATGTTGTTGCACATCCAAGCTCCGTGAGGCTACCTGAAACAAATTAAACCAAAACATGCTCTTTGTCCACTAACAAAAGAATGAAAATACAAAGATATTCAGTTACAGTGTTTTTTTTTCGCTTTTCTTGCAAGCAACTTGGAAAAATCAAAGTAGTTCCACGTTCTAGCCGATGTGTCTCGCGAAGCCGCTCTTGAAGCACAATGTCCGAGGCACTAAGCTATTCGAAGACGATTACGGTGAACAAAATACATGCGACCGCCAAGAGTTCATCAGTCGTTCCTTTCATGGGACGCCCAGTGCCAGACGCTATAGCTGCGTTCATACTGATGCGGAGGTTCCGGCACAATCTTATATAAGCTGAATGTCTGTTTGTCTGTATGTATGTCTGTCTGTCTGTATGGCTGTACGTATGTTCCGAATAGAAAATTCCATTTCTGAACCGATCCGGACCAAACTTGGTACACATACACTTCGGGCCCCGGCGGGTGTCATAGGCTACTTTTCATCATCGATCAATATCGATTTTATCGATTTTTTTCTAAAATTTGAGCTACGGGGCTGGGAGTTGATACAGGGGGGTAATCGAGCATGCTGATTACGAATAAAATAATGACAGGGCCGGGCGGAGCCGGGTAAGCCATCTAGTTGACAGTATTTTAACCGTTTTCATCGGTTTTCAATGTAATTATTTTGCAATGGCTATATCGCCCTAGATCATGGATGGTATCGCTTCCGATTCACTAATAAGCTAAAAACCGAGCGTTTATCGATTGAGCAAAAACGGCACTGACGTTCAAAACAAGGGAATAGTCAGTTGAGATTACGACATTTTGAAGCTCAATGCGCGCGCATACCAAGACATCAGATAATGAGTTATTAAGCTTAATAAATATAAAGAAGAAATCAAGAGATCAAAACATAACAATAGCGAAAATAACACAAAACTGAGAAGTCGACTTTACAGAAAAACTAAAGCTTATGAAAAGAACTCAGTGACAACTCAGGGTTACGCACGTTTTCGTCTCATTTGACAAGGGAAGCGTGTTCAGTCAAAGTGGCCTTTTCAGATGAGACCCATACTGCTTTGAAGAGCACTGCATAATGGCTCTAAATCTGCCTTCATTATCTGCCAAGCGCCACTGGACGCCGAGTTATGACCGTTTCTGAAACGAAAAATGAATGCGAAATTTAGGTAAAAGATTGTTTAATCTTTCTCGAGTTCAAATAAAACAATGTCAAGTATTAGCATATTAGATAAAATGTATCCATTGCATAAACTGCTCTGATACTCGACTCCGGACCATTTGAGCAAATTTAAGCAATTTTGTTTCAGTTTTGCGTTCAATTTTTTACAGGAACAACGCCCATAACTCGGCGTCCACGCTTGGCAGATAGTGAAGGCAGATTTGGAAATCACTGTGCAACTCTCCAGAGCAGTATGGGTCTTATATGAAAAGGCCACTTCGACCAAACACGCTTTCTTTGTATGTAAATCGCGACCAAACACGCTTTCTTTGTATGTAAATCGCTTCCACTGACAAGAAAAAACCTCAAACTTGGAAAGAGGACTGAAAATGAGCTCTCTTTTGTGCGATCAACGCCTTCTTGATTGAAAACTGATATTCGCAAGTAAAGTTGACTGGAAATGCAACACGATCCTACTTGAGATGTGGCAGCTACGCTTTACCATTGACTTTCTTCTTCTTTTTGAGAAAGCTTTTTCAAGCAAATTCGCGTTCACTGGCTTAAAACATCTAGATTCAATACTAACGGTACAAGGCTACTTAGGCTTAAAGGCAGCGTCCGGGAAAAATTTCGAAAGAAAAACTTTCCGCTTATCTAGGCTTATACTTCCCGGTGATTCCAAAAAGGCAGCTTGAAGAGTACAAAAAAGTCGAAAACGGGCAATTCCAGAAGCCTCCGATTTTGAATATGGACGCCTGCCGCCGCGCTAAAGACGCAGAATCGCAGTGTCTCCATCTTGACAGTGTTTGTATACACACTCTAGCTTAATGATTTATCCTTCGGTAGGTGGGGTCCTCCGATGTGGCGCAACCTTCCAAATTCTAGAGAAATTTTCTTGCTTCCGGTTCCACGAAAAATGTCCGCGATTGAGCTGGCTATATCAGAACGGCTGTTTTTGCGCGATAGTGAAACCCCAAAACCCCCCACCTAGTAGGACACAGCCTTTAATCTAACTTCATAGCTCATACCATGAAGGAAGTGCATGAGAAAGCGAAATTTGGGTTCCTACAGGGTTGTCATTTTTTTCGCTCGTAACGACAGGAGCGCAAGCCAATGGCATTGAGAAAAGGTACTTTGCTCTGACTGAAAACAGAAAAAATACAGAATTACCGATATAGTCGGACCTCTTATCGTAACAATTATCACTTTCCTTAAACACCTAAGCAGCATGAAAGACTATGCCCATGATTTAGACGCCTGGGGATTGCAGATGAAACTGATTTTGGGAGACACCAAAATATTGCCCCAAGCAGCGACGCAGATGGTGCACTCGCGGCTCAGATATTCGTCTCCATACCAGACCCCGCTACTGTATTTGGCGGACGATTGGTGACCTCGAAGGCAATTTGGAGGAAGACCCACCGTCCCAAAGAGATGGTTCCTGAACACCTAAAAAACACCGTTTTTTTTGCAAAATGATGGGGCGAATTATCTGTCGTTCTGGCAATATATGCAACTGTTTGTCCCGTTCTCACTGCCTGTCGTCTTCAGCTGTGGATACTCACAATACTTGGGCTCGTGTTCGTATTGCCACTTGTCTTCCTCGTGAAAAACCTGTTGATGATTTGTTTATCATCAACCAAACCAATAAAGTCTATATTCTATATGGTCCACGGCATCCCCGTAAGCTAGATTGTGAGCTACTCACTCTTGAGTATGTAATCACTAGAGTGGGTGGTAGTTGCGCGCCGGAAGTGTAACCTACCGGCGACATCTCTTTTCAAACGCCAACGCGTATTCATTGCACCTTGTACTTGGTTTCCTAAAAAGCCACCGAATGTATTGAAGGTTCTTGACCTTCGCACTGGGACACCTCAATCTCTCACAACTAATCTACGCCGGTGCGAATAAATTAATTCCGCAACGTTTTCCTCTCAATCACTTGACATCCACCAAACTAGTGCATCGGCCAGTAATTTTTCTTGCATTTCCTCCGACGAGTTATTCTAAAAACCTGGGAAATCAAGGCTTAAGATCAGCGTGGAGGGCTCTACTACAGCCACATATTCAACTCTTGTAATTGCTGGTTCCCACTTCCACGACCATGTCTTACTAACAATAAGCTGTCAGGTCCTATCCAAAGCTTAGCAGAGGTTTCTCGCTAACTGACTGGTCCAACACCGTTAGCCACACAAATCCTCAAACTTTTTTGGCTTCAACCAGCCAAATAATCTGTGATAGTTGGTGCACCACTTTCACAACCACTCAGATAATCGCCGGGGGCAGGCGGTCCGCAAACTCGCGCTTTTCTGCAGGCGGTCAGCAGAATCTTGGGGCGTGGCCAAACCTTCAGCGGGCGGCACTTCCTTTACGGTGGCATATTCTACCAGCGGGCAGCAATACAGCATTTTTTGCAAGCGCTCGGCAAATAATTTCTTTCAGCGAGCGCTGGCCAAACTTTCAGCAAGCGCTCGGACTCCTTTAACGCATTTTCGGGCGTACGTCGAGCACAGATAAGACTCTATGTGGCAGAGGTGTCACCGTTGGTTTAATTACTCAAGTTTGAGGTAATTTCTCTCAGCGGAAAGTACCTGGGGGTTGCGCGGTCCTCCACAAAGGACCGTGCGGCCCCCGAAATTTTTGCATATTCTCGCGGATTTCGCGCGAGAACATGCAAAATTATTGGGAGCCGCACGGTCCTTTTTGAAGGACCGCACAGCCCTCAGGTACTTTCCGCTGAAAGAAAGTACCCCAAACTTGGGTAATAAAACCATCGATGGTACCTCTGCCACATAGAGTCTCATCTTTTCTCGGCGTACGCCCGAAACTGCGTAAAAAGAGTCTGAGCGCCTGCTGAAACTTTGGCCAACGCTCGCTGAAAGAGATTGTTTGACGAGCGCTTGCAGAAAATTTTGTATTGATGCCCGCTTGCAGAAAACGCAAATACCGCCCGCTGAAGATTTGGCCACGCCCCGAAATCCTGCTGACCGCCTGCAGAAAAGCGCGAGTTTGCGGACCGCCTGCCCCCGGCGATTATCTGAGTAGTTGACATGCGGCACTGAATTTCCAGCGAGGCCAATACGGCCACCCTGAAACCAAGCCGTAGCAACTAAATCGTTTGGACAAGATCGCGATTCCCGCGATCAACCATCAATTCCACAGCAAAGCCGAGCTTTAGTGGACAATAGAGAAGAGATTGAAAAAAGATAAAAAGAGCACGAGATGACGTCATTGAACAAGATAGACAACGCCTGCAAACTCGGGAAATCTCATATATCACAGATCAAAAGTGCTCGTCCCCTTCACATTTCCCACTTGAAAGAAGAATTTGAGACTAGAACGGTAAAATAACTAACTTTCTGAACTATTTTCATAACGCAGCGAAGCTTCAAGAAACGCAAATCAACTCTGCGATCGAGCATATTAACGCATGGGGTGAAAAAGAAAGAGAGGAACTGATAACGGAGCTCAGCATGCACTTAGACTTGGAATCACTTGAACTAGAAGTGATGGTAGTGCAATGGCGGAAATAAAATCCCGGCAGCACGAACTGAAAAAAAAAACAAGGCGCATTCCCCCCCCCTCTCGCCTTCAGCGATGCGAGCATACCGAGTCAACCGGGTAATGAGTGAACAAGCTTGGATTCCGCAACACAACGAGAGACTCTCCAATGATTCTCCAAGATTCCTAGGTTCTCAGGCAATTTCGAGAGTTTAACAGTTTTTGATAATCTTCTAATCACTTATCCACGCCGACAAGGAGCTGTCTGACAGTGGTAGGGACGAATTTCTGTATCTGAAACAAAACTTGAAGGGCGAAGCAGCAGCCACCCTGAGTTGCATTCTTATTTTTGGAGAGAGACATCACACAGCGATGGATATCCGAAGAAACATTTTAATCGCTTTGCCAACAAAGCAGACGTACTCACCAGTGAGATCGAACAATTAAGATCACCGGATAGGTTGCCGAAATAACATCGCAGTCAATGCAAAGATCATTCATCTCAACGGAAACGAAGATGAACGCAGACAGAGTTTCACGTCGAGTAGTCTTCTCCAAATTTCTTGAATCCATTTCGACAATCCAAAAGGAAGCTGTACAAGATGACTCATCCAATGATGCCGAGATCCTAAACGCTATCGACCGCATCATTTCATTGCGAGAGGCAATGTTGCTAACAACGGAAACTCTTTTTTCAATGAGCCACCACCCGAACAACCGAGAAAATGAAATGGGTCACCAATGCGAAAGAAAATATTTTCCGGAACTAGAAAGTCTGTGCTTGTGCCGACAACATTCTTGTATGCGTTCCAGAAGTGCACCACATCAGAACAACACACTCTTTGATACGGCGACTCACAGCGACGAACCAACAAACGTATTGGAGATTTCTGCAAGAAATCACAACCCATACATACAGTATTTACAATTCCGCTTGTACACATATTGGATGTGCCTACTCAGATAATCGCCGGGGGCAGGCGGTCATGCGATTTATGGGCGAGCGGGCACCGGAAAGATATTTCGCTGATTTCTTGCGGTCCGCTTGCAGATATTTGGAAGAAGTTTAGCGAAATTTTAGACGAATGCTTGGAGGACAATCGCGGTTTCTTTGTAGAGCTGCGGCGCAGTGGCCGCATTCTCGCGGACGTTCCGCGAGAATATGCAAAATTTTCGGGGGCCGCACGGTCCTTTGTGGAGGACCGCGCAGCCCCCAGGTACTTTCCGCTGAGAGAAAGTACCTCAAACTTGAGTAATTAAACCAACGGTGACAACTCTGCCACACAGAGTCTTACCTGCACTCTGCGTATGCCCAAAACTGCTTAAAAAGAGTCCGAGCGCCTGCTGGAAGTTTGGCCAGCGCTCGCTGAAAGAAATCATTTGCCAAGCGCTTGCAGAAAATGCTGTATTGCTGCCCGCTGGCAGAATATGCGACCGTGAGTGCCGCCCGCTGAAGGTTTGGCCACACCCCCAAAATTCTGTTGACCGCTTGCAGAAAAGCGCGAGTTTGCGGACCGCCTGTCCCCGGCGATTACCTGAGTAGATACGAGGACACCACCATGGATCTCTTTGCTTGCCAGGAGGAAAAACGCAATGGACCGCGCAATCCCGAGATTCTGCAGTCGGCAATCATCAATATTCTCCTGCTTCTTGGCCATAACGTGACAATAATCAAGACCGTCGCGAGATGAGTAGTATGCACGTCGTACAAGGTTCACAGAACGACCGAAAAGTCTTCACTCTGGACATACTTTTACTTGCACACAATCAGTGCGTTCTTCAAATCGCTTTGGCCTTGATTTTCAATGAAGCAGAGTGTGACCCAAGTAACGTCCGTGCTCCTTGATTTCGGAGCACAAAGAAGCTTCATCATAAGACCCTGTCAAGGAGTTGAGTTTCCACTCATTCGAACTACCTTGTCATTACATCAAATGGACGAGCATCAAGAGCAATTCTCATCTAGAGTGCACAACATTTTGAAAGTCCTTTAAAGCTTCGAGGAGTTGTCATTGCATACAAAGCAGAAACTTAATAATCCCCTGCAGACTGCAACTCTGCCCATCCTGATCATCGGGCAAGACCCCATGAATCTTGTCACCTTTAGCAAGGAGTACTCAAGCTCCCTTCCGAGCTCATTTTGACCCCAATCATCTTCGGATACGTCATATATAGGACGAGCCGCACACCATTACAACGAGGTTCGTTGGCGCATTCGGCTGCATATCAACGCCACAGAAAATCGTAAAGAACAAGCACTAAACATCTCAACACAGCAAAAGCTTGGAGATCCCTAAAACGTGCTTTCATCTCAGCAAAGCTGAGTGAGGAAAAAACCCGAAGGAGAACGATATTGTTACGAACGAGAATTCACACCTTGCAAACACATCGTATACTGCAATATGATTACCAACGAAACAACTACTACTAATTCAATGTCAATAAGGAGGAAAGGCAAGGACGACAAGCAGCGCCAAGTCGCAATCAGCTCTAGCAACTATTTCAGAAGGCTTTTCCTTTCTATGATTTTTACCATGTGTAACTTTGACTAATTTGCAAAAGAGTCTTGATAGCCACTAGGCAAAGCAAACCTTTTGCAAATTGATAGAGTTTCCGCTTTCTTCTAGCAAATGCAAAGATAGCTAAAGTATCTACGCCGCTTCCAGTAGGCTAATGCTCGCTAAAAAGCTGCGAGACCAAAATCCCAAAATTTGAGTTAGGCGAGCAGGTTACTTACAAAGCTGATGTTTTGCTAACTTGTACGTTAAGCATTGTCTGATATACTGTGATGTAATATAAAGTACTATGTTGATCAATTGAATTGAGAAGATTTCTTCAAGAAAATATAATAAAACGAAACACATACTCAGACAATGGTATGTTCCAAGAAGTAACGAATATCGGCACATGAGTTGAAATAAGACTTGTATACCCGATCACAGACGACCACATTTTGAGAGGCAAAAAGCTCCGATAATTCCTGCGATGGAAATTGCATAAAACGTGGAATGAAAAAACACTCCAATGCATTACCTCGTTCCAGTCAGTTCCAATTTTAGGCACTAAGGTCATAGCGGTTTCCTTGAGCACTTCTTCAATTTCATTTAAATGTGCATTTAATCTAGAAGCACCTCTGCGTATTGAGGCTTGCAGAGCTTCACAGTGAACAACAAAGTCGTTCTGAACATTTTGAAGAGCAAACATGAACAAACAAAGTGCTTTTTGCTGTGCCCCGATAGACTCACCTTTATTGAAGTTGCTGACTTGGTTTTCTTGCCCACAGCTTCGTTGGAATTCTGACGATTGCCACATCTTGCCAAAATTTTCACGAGAATTTGACAAACAGCCAAAGACTGTAATGCTCGTGAACTCAGAATAATTTCTTCTTGTATGTAGAACGGATACGCTTTCGTTTCAAATTGAGGCAACATGGCTGGAATAGAAGATTGAAGCATCTCGAATATATATGAGCAGAAGTCAAAGTCGCTTACTACTCACCGCTCCAATCTTTTTCCATTTGTTCTACAGACGGTAATATCGATTCAGGTGTAAGTTCATTCAGATTGTTGGCAGCAGCAACCTAGAATCTGTATACAACAAAAAGCCAACTACGGAAGCAGCGCTGCTGTTAACATTGAGGATTCCCGGCACATGTCTGGCAAAAAGTGTAAGATTGTCACGAATATTCGATTATCTTTTCGAAAATCGGAAGAAATTTTGATGTTGATCTGTGTCAAGGTCCATGATTGCACTATGGGGAAGATTCAAAGCAGGAAAACCCAAGTTGAAAAAGTGGCAAAAAAAGTAAAAAGTACTCACATCGACAGCAGACTGGAGCAGGCGTAAAATAGGATCCAAAAAACCACCGTGAATCCAATGCGATAAATAAATGGGACTAGGGGACTGCATGACTCGGCTCTGAAATCTGTTATTACAAAAGGAATAACGTTTTATTTCCAATCAGAAAAAAGTGTCAGGTAGGAGGGTAAAGTTGTAGGCTGATATGTTAGACGAAAAATCAGAAGAATCTGCTGCCAACTATAACAACTACAGACAATACCTGTGACATATTAGATGGGTATGCTTGACGACAATGCTCTAAATGTACTCGTAAGAGAGTGACATCGGCACCCAATTCCTGCGGACCAGCACCTTTGGCACCTCCAGCCGATCCTACTGCTTGTGACAGATAGTGCCTGAGGCGAGTCATGTCCACCTGAAAGCACGATGTTTATTAACGCTGCAGTGGACAGATATTGAAGTGATTAAGGTTGCTCGAATAAAGGTGTAGATCTAACTCACAAACTCCATCTGAGTGGTTTCCCGCAAACTCGCTAAGTTCTCCTTTATATCGCGTTCAAAAGATGGAATGACGCCAAGATCACGGTTGTCCGTTAACGAATCCCATTCTAAACTAAACATACATCAAATGGTAATGTGAGCTACATAAACTTCATAAAATTTTAGTTGAGCTAAAGCTCAATAAAAAAATCTCTCCTACGCAAAAGAAACCCCCACCGATAGTATCATCGCTGCCATGGAGTGTGTTCAGTGCTTCATCAAGGTTGTCAATAGCAAATAATGCGGACATATATCGATGCAGCTCATTAGCCGCAACAGACTGCAATCAGTATCGTTGCCATCAAGCTTCTGGTAATGTACCATGGACTCACCATCGCCGATTTTCTCATTTTCTCTGCTAATGATACCAGATTCGGAACTTGCATGAAGGCACCATTACGATAAGCTCCTATCAAGGCTTCGCTGATCTGTAAAGTGGGATCGCAATAGGGAATCCGACAAAAACAAAAACACTGATAGATCGCAGTTGTTACCTCTTTCTCTGCTTGTTCATATACTTCTACCATCTCCGTGTAATGAACTATACCAACATTGAACCTGAAAGAGACTATAGTGCTCAAAACCTCACTTTTCTGAAAAGGTTGTAGCGAACAGCATCAGGAAAGATATTGTGCAATACTTCAAACCTGCCGCACAGTTCCGGCATAGGAAACATAATATAACCAAGAGTGTCCCGCTGAACTGACTTGATATCGAGAGCTCGAGTAAGGGCTACCATACGATACATACAGCCTAAATATCATCCCATTTTTAGCACTTCTCATAACAGTAAAATTATCAAGGGGTCCACCTATATGAGCGTAAGCTCGGCAAAGAACAAGTTTGCAGAAAGGATCGGTAGGATAATCGTTTGATGTCCACTCTAACAACAGAATCATTTCGTAGAAAGACTGCCAATCATCTGAAATTCAGCCCCTTCACAGAAAATTGAAGGTGATTGTTATATCAAAAGCGCGAAACGAAACAGGCACAAACTATAGCAATCAAGGCAGAAAACATGATGAAGAATGAAAAGCGCTCACCATGAGCTCTCCATTCATTCCACAGTATAGCGGCTGCTAACTGAGCTAGAGCTGTACCAGCCAATTGCTCTCGATTTGGCTGCAAGAAAAAAGTGTCAAGGAAAACATAAGATTCAAAAGCTTTGCCACTACAACCTGTAAAATCCCTCGTATTATCAATTGCACATGTTTCCGTCTGTCTTCTCTCGGCATTCGATCGATGCTTCCAATAGTTCTACGCAGTCTCTCATTCATGATGACTGCCCAACAGTTAGCATCCTATGAGAAAGAGCTTTGGAGCGTACACCTTAGCATCTCAATAATCTTCCCGTACAAGCGTAAGGCAAGCGCAGTTCTTTTGAATAGCATTATTATATAAATGAATTTTACGAGGATGTTTAGTGTACAGAAGTGTGAAACTAGATTCAAAATTTTACGAGGATATGAAAAGTTCCAGAGGTGTGAAGCTAGATTCTAAAGTATTCAAAAGAGTGATAGAATGATGGCACAAATCATATTAATAGAGCGTGTAAAAAGTCCGATAGTGACATTCTCAATGACTTATGAACAAGAAGATTTGGAAGACTCAAAATCAAATGTATAACTACTTACACTATCCTCTCCTGCTTGTTCTCTTTGATGAATTACGCTGTCAATGAACTCTTTCAGTCCATCAATGAGCTCCTCCTTCTTCTTGTCATCCAAAAGCCATAGATACTGAATACTAGATATGAACATGACAGACCATCAGATCTCCAATCCGATAAACTTGCCTGATTTATGTCATTGTAACAACATGGTTTCGCGTAAAAAGTCAGTACATAGTTCACCATTAGTTCAATAGGCTTCCCTATAATCTTTTGAAAATGATCATAAGGAGCAACAAAGGCAACCTATACAGTCACTAACCCAGATTCATCCCATCTAACAGAGAACGAATTGGTTCCTCCTCTTTGAGGAATCTCCCAATAAGCTCTAATCTAGCAAGGTGAGGACCACGCAATCGACTTTTCGACAATCCCTCGGCATTAACAACTTTTTTCAAAGTATCCAAGGTTCTGAAAACGCCTGTTCTTTCTGATGGATCATGCGTTTTCCTGAGCAAAACCTAGATAAGCGGCACGAAAACATTCCAGCTATAGAAAAAAAACAAAGTGTGATACGAAAATAGACACTGACCTATTCGTCTCTTCCTCGACTGTAGATTTTCTCAACAGCGCAAAAGAAGACTCGAAAAGAATCTTCCACAACGTCCAATCATCGGGACTATAACAAAGTTATGTCACCACCAAAAAATACAAGGGATCACCAGTGGAGAGATACAAAAAAAAACGATTATTGTGATAGAAATTGGAAAAAAAATTTGTACAAAATTTCACAACATACACACGTACTCTGCTTTCAGTCCTTCGACAGTTCTATCTAAGGCAGTTTGATAATTTTCCGCTAGCAATAAAAGATCTAATCGGCGTGCCATCAGAAACGTTGGTGGGGTAGATAAAAGACTTCGAGATTCTTCTGTGCCCAGCAATGCTTCGGCTTCCGCAAATTTCTTCATTCCTTCCAGAACCATTGCATGTAATTCAATTTCTAAAAAAAATCAAAGGAAGCTCCAATACAGGGTGTCCCCAAAAAAATGTACTCACTGTTTGATTGTAAATAACTCTCTTGTAATGAAGTGTTTCGGGAAGCTTTAGGTACCATTTTGAAAAGCGAGGTTCAACTTAGACTTACAGTATAGAGCGAATCACCGACTGCTCTACTGTAGGATTACGGTAGGAGCTTTGGAGAGGATTTTGAGGCATGAAAGGCCATATTTTGCCTAAGTAAGCAAACAAAACAACCTGAAAAGTTTCACACTGGGCTAACTAGAGTTGCTGATTTTAAATGTTGTTCGCAGTTTATCATATTGCTTCAATAAAAAATTATGCGAGGTGAGCAGTACCGGCCGTTTTTCCAGTGCTCCCGAAAATTGCAATCATACCGTTTAGAAAGCTTCGCAACCTTGTACATAATTGAGTATTGAACTCAGTGTTTATGAAAACCCAATTACACAATTTTTCACATTCATTTCAAAATTTTTGAAACCGCAACTTTTTTTCAAAATGACAACATATGCTTGAAGTTCCTATCGTAATCCTCAGTAATGAAAAGCAGTCGGTGATTCGCTCTATACCGTAAATCTAAGCTGAACCTCGCTTTAAAAAATGGTAACTGAAGCTTCCCGAAACACTTCATTACAAGAGAGTTATTTACAATCAAACCGTGAGTACATTTTTTGGGACACCCTGTATATATAGATTATCAAGTGAAATTCTTATCAAGTGAAATCCTGTCTGATTTACCGAGAAACTTTCAGAATCTCAAAGCCAAAATTACTCACCAGCACCTGCTTTGTACCCGTACTTCTTCACATGATTCTCTATCATTCTAGCAGCCAAAGGGAACAGCATCTTCGAGCCCATTTCTGGATTTTCGTAGGCCTGCGATTGATTTGTAGAGACAAGGTAGTAAATTAGATTTTCACGAACACAAAACTATGGCACTTCATATATCACAAGAACAGGCAATGCGCACTTAAACAGTCAACAGTCGCTTTCTGAGGATAAGAGTCATTATTCGTGGTAAAGTAATGTCTTGAAGGAAAAGTAACTAAAGCAGACTTATGCATCAACTTACTTGCATCACAATGCTCATTACGCCCCAAAAGAAGTACGGCGAATTGTTGAATTCCTTGAATAAGCGCATTGCTATTAGCTGCTGATTCTTGAACGACCTGCAGTGCTATTGTAAAGCGAATCCACTCGCGCTTGAAGATTAAACAAACCTATTTCGAACATGAGCCATGAAAAGATGCGTAAGATTTTGTTCGGTAGGAGCAACAGCAACGGCGCGCTCATATAGAGTTGTTATTCGATCAGGACAACCTGCCTCCTGTAAAAAAACAAATAGATATGACGATCCAACTCATTCAACCAGCCCTGTCACGAAAACCCATCTTGGTCCAATAAGTGTCATTTAACACATTATTGTATGATTCTAGAAACTCTTGTTTCGGCAAATTTCAATAAAAACTTTTTTCGCCTCGAAATCTTTTCTCAGACGGCAATAGCTAATTAATGCTGCATACAAGAGTAAAGAAAAGAGGGATGTATGTCAAGGGAGGCGTTTCTACGCCATGGACATCAGATGCACATATTTAGTGTTATCAACCTTCTACAAGCATTCAAAACTCCTAAAAATATGATAGATAAACCTAAAAAGATGTATTAGATTGATTCGAAAGTTCTGTCGCTTTGATAAGGAGAAATTCGTAACTGCTTTTTACGTGAGCGTATTGACTCGCAAAAAATACTACAGATAGAAGAGTTCATCTACTTTCTGATCACATCTTCCCTGCCCTTTACCGATAAAAGACTCAGTAGATAGAAATTTGAATAGGAAGACAACTCAAACTCGTGATTTTCGAAAAAAAAAATCGTCACAAATCTATAACGCTAAAGAAAACTGAAACCATATATTCTGAAGGTATTTTGAGCTGCCATTTGATGGTGCCAAGATTGTGCTGATCGAGTTTTCTGAAAGGTTATGATTTCGTGAAAAACGCAAAATGCAAAAAACGTCATTTTCGCCATTTTTTGCTTTACACGGAAATCATAACTTTTAGTAGAAAAACTCGATCAGCACAATTTTGGCAACCATCAAAAAGGACAGCTCAAAAGAACTCTAAAGACATGCTCTCAGATTCTTCCGCAGCATTTCAGATTTTTGACGAAAATCAGGAGATTGAGTGGTTCCCTATTCGAATTTTGATCCAGTTACGAATGAATTTTTTTTAGTCCCAAATTGAGACTTGAATGTTGTAGGTTAAAAAATCTTCAAAAAAATAGCAAGATTCGTAGACATTTTGAGCAATTTTTCAGCAAACTGTAAAATGAAGCAAATGATAACCGTAAGCAGCCAAAAGGCCAAAACTTTGTCTGGTATTTTTTGGAGTTTTGCTTATCACAGAAAGTAGATTTTTGAGTTAAGTTGAGTTAATGCCCGCCGGAAAAGTCGCACTTCTTGACCACATTACAAAAAAGGTAAGACATACTCCTTTTCTTGTTTCTTCAGGAAAAATTTGCGTAAGGACCAAATAACGAAACCAAACGTTTAAGTTTCCACAAGCATTATGAGACAGTGAACAGAAAACAGAAAACAAAAAACAGAAAACACACTGTCGTACACAAAAGCACAAGAAACGCACATCAGCACTAAAATAAAACTCAGTAAGCAAGTGGAATTAGTGGTAGATCAGTCACTGATTTGTTGAAAGATCGATTTTGGGTCCTTAGAATATGCACCAGCGAACTTGATATTTTTCAACAGCAAAAAAAAAACTGCGACTAGAAAAGATCATGTTTATAGACTAAAAATGAAAAATAAAACAGAATATGCTGATAACTTCAAAATAAAAACCGACCTTGAAACAGTGAACAAAAGCCTGCAGAGTACCATCGTCAAACTGAGCACCAGGAACATCCAGTGCGTTTATGATCTCGAAACCTTCCGCTAATTTGTCAGAACGGATTAACGCCAATGCTTTCAGTACCTTAATGGTGACAGATTCATAGCAGTGAAGCTGCACAGTGAGCGAAAAATGAGAAGAAAGAATGAAAATTTCTTCAGCCTTTTGAAGCAACGAAAAGATTAGGGCATCTAGGATACAGTTCTCGAAAGGCATGTTAAATAACATTTTTACAGTAAAGGTCATTCTCTATGACACCTATTTAATATGAAGGCAACTCAGCATTCGGTAAATCTTCAACTTATCAAAATCAGATCAAAACGAAAAAAAACTCCCGAGCGGTTTGATTTTGTTACTATTGAAAATGTTTGCAAAGATTGTGTGAAATCACCTTTGCACAAGTAGTGACCGGATGTTTCTTAAGAACTTTGTCTGCTTCTTGGACGGCTTTCTTAGCATTTCCGGCATCTATGGCGTCTGTGTATTGACAGCGATTAGGGCCATTAATTTGTGTACAGAAGGAGTGACGAACCATAAATGGGCCGCAGCCGCCGTTCCATGATCAGCTGATCCGCCTTCGACATCACTAGTCCTACTGAATCATAGAAGAAGACTGAAAGTAGACTATTGCATAGAACAGCGCTCACTGAGGGATAGTTGTGAAGTAAGAGACATTTCTCAAGTAGTCGAAAGCCTCTTTTGAGGAATTTACGGTATCAGTCCTACATCAAGCAACTCTCTTTTATTTTTGTGAAGTGAATTTCATGTAGTAATTTTAGGAAGACAGTTCAGAGACGCTATTTCCGGCTGTCACAAACGCAAAAGCCTTATAGGGGGTGTATGTCAAAAGTCGCAGTTTTTATTGCCAGATGGACACCAAATAGCACATAATAAGTGTTTTATAGCATTCTAAAAATGTTCAAATCTTAACAGGAGATATATTAGATAGTTGCATAAGTTGCTCAGTCTTGTTACTTTGGAAAAAACTCAAAACAGCAATCTTGAAGGTCAGAAACCCATGAAAATGCAGTTAACAACAAACTCGTAAATAGTTCGGTCTGTTCCAGCAAAAACCAACAAACACAGCAAGTGGTAACTTCACACAGATAGTAAGCCAATGCATTTTATTTGGTACTTTTTGAAGACTCGCATAACACTAAAGTGGAGTTTTGAGTTGGTGACAACCGGAGACAAGCCGTTTTACCTGTCCCCCTTATAGGTTGGATTCATGCTGATCCGAAATTTCCGGAACACGCACAGTGTGAGAACTGTACTGGAACTGTTCCAGAATTTCCGGATCAGTATGAAAACAGCCATAACCATGCAAATTTTCAGAATACCGAACAAAGTCTATTAGCGATAGATAGCTGTTTGGAGTCGCTCGCTTTTTCTGACGGCTTTTGCTGAAAAATTGGCAAGAATATCCACGAATTTGCTATTAGGTAATTGCGCCTTCATGGTGACCTCCACGTTTGTCTTGATCGTCCATTTCTATTTCGAGACGATAAAATAGAGCAGCCCATACAGCGATCTTGAATATCTCTTTAGAAATTTGAAGCTCTCGAACTTATAAAACAGTGGTTGAGTACTACTTGATGTCCACCTGGAATGAAAATCGCGCCATTTGGCATAAATTACTAATCTTCTTATTTTGATGCACGTATACTCGAAAAACAATGTGCTTTCCCAAAACGCTTTGATGCGAATTCTCGTCTTCTGAGCATTTGAGTCAGACTGTTTGACAACACTAGTGTACAATAAAAGCTTTCCACAATATTGCTTTCATGATTATAAAGCTGGTAGCTATCATAAACTTTTCTTAATGATATTTTCCCCAAAAAAAAAGGAAACTTGGCAATAAAGATGTACGGAGTAATTTCATGATAAAGTCAAAAAATTCTTTATAATCTCTGCCCAAATCTTTGTAAAATTGACTACATCAGTGTGCTTCATCCACTCAAATTGCAAAAACCCTTTTGAGCATGATGTGGATGAAGCACGGGGAAAATACAGAAGAAGAACTTTCTAAACAAAACTAATGAGAACTGTAGAACTCAATTTAGCAGTGAAATTGATCCTAAATCCATAAATCCGCATAAGCTCGTCAAATTCCGTGTACAGTCCGACGTAAGCAGAAACAGAAGACGAGAGTAAACACGAGAGAGTAAGTTTTTACGTTTATGCACTTGAAGAAGCAGAGAACAAAGTGTTAGGGAGGTAGAGGCCAGTTAAGGTCACAACTTTCTGGCAGCTGCCTCGGCATGTTCCGTTTGTCCTTTTCGTAATAAGTGAATCTAGTATGCGGAAATGCTCTATGTTTACCCATAAAGCATGTGCCCTTTCTTCCATTAGATGTCATTCGCTTATCCCTTCCTTGTTTTGGTCGCTGTTGGTCCATGATTCTTCTTGCTGTAGTGTTCAATCTTTTATCTTCATTGTATTGATTAACGACTCAGTGGTTCCAGTATTTGCTGATGATTGCTGAAATTCAGAACTTTTCTTCCTCCCCTCCTTTTTAGTTTCTATCCTTTGCGCACTACCAACCGCTGCTTATTGATTAACAACTGCAACGTGGTTTTGGTATTATCTGTTTTGCCAACAATTGCTAGAGTTCACGTATATACCGTACCCTTCTTCTCGGACTAGATCAGTTGTGAGACAAATTTCATGGTTAAATGAACAGGAACTGTAAACAGCTGCTCCTCCAGCCTTTCATACACTTTACTTTCTTTTCAATGCATTATTCTCATTCTGAGTGCATGCATGGAGATTCTCATGCTATCTATAGTTTCTTCATGGAGTGTAAAAAGATAACTGACATGCATATACAACTGCACTATTTAGAGTAGCTTTTTATCTGTTTATGTTCGGACACGTTCTCCCTGTGGTCAAAAGCACATATGATGAAGCTCAGCATTTTCGAGTAGAAACCATTATCCGTCGGAATCCGGCGCTGACCTTAGCTACAGTATATAGCTAACGCGACCACAAAAGACGACCCAGCTGCCTCTTGTCTTTCCTTTGGCTATGAATCTTACTTATTACATATGAATCTTACTTACCACATCATCAGGTCATCTTGAAACTATATTTTGTTATGTTTACTCTCTGGTCTTGCCACGGTATTGAAAATTCTCCTCATTCTGGATACTCTCCCAATATACCATAAGGTGGGAATACTAAGGAACTGATGTTTCTCTAAGATATCTCATGGAATTTATCATTATCGAGATACCCCAATAACTTTTCGCCAGAATATAAAAGGGTTTTATTTGATGAAGTTAGTAGAACCTCTGCTTCCCAAAACATGTACATTCAGGGAGATGAAGTCATCCTTACCAATGACAGTCTTATTTTGAAATCCTTAACAACAAAAAGAATTCGTAAATGATACTTCTACGTCATCTATCAACATCAGTTGTTAGCAAACTTAGGTCCTCATTCATTACTTGAATACGGATAGCGAAATGATTAGTTATATATACATAAGACCCAGAGGATAAACAACAAATCATATCAAATGCAAGACCACTTTATGATCTGATAAGTAAGATTAATGGAAAAGTAAGAGGCAGCCGGGTTGCCTTTTATGGTCGCGTTTGCTATATACTGTAGCTAAAGTCAGCGCCGAATTCCGACGGATAATGGTTTCTTTTTCGAGTATGCTGTATGCACTCCGAACGGATTTCCTTTCTTTTCCAGCTCATTTTTGGACCAACCACTCAACTTTCCGCTTTTACACATTTTTTGCTGTTTATTGACTGTTGTATGGTTCCGAACATGTTTTTTAGACGCGTCATATCCGTCGTTCCACCATTCATTTACTCCCTTTTACAGTATTCTGTAAAAGTCCCAGTAATAATGTGGTATTCGTTTTAAAGCATGATTATGGAGTTCCTAAGGGTTGCTAGAATAGGACTTCATGCAGGAGGCAGCAAAGGCTTACCGCATTTGCTTTGGAAAGTGCCTGAGGAGCTCCAGATTCCTCGCGCCTCTAATCACTTTTCGCACATTTGATTACTTTACAAGCTAGAGATGTAAACGAAAATCTTCTTGAAAAGTATCTCACCCTGGATCAATTTGGGAATCTCGCATTTTCTTTTAAACTCAGCCATAATCGTTTTCAGCCTATTCAAATATTGTGTTCATGGCACTTTACTCCAGAATTCGTAAAGAAGGTAGTGATTGTGCCACAGAATTAAGGACGATAATAACATGAGCAGGATTTACAAGAACATGTTTGAGATTCTGGTTGAAGAATTGAATAGTCAGATTCATACTTTCAAATCAATAAATCTGGTTTCATATCGCCTTTGACGTTGATTGGCTATTTATGAATCCTTTTCAAACTTGTCATCTTATCTGCTGTGAGTTTAAAACATGAATATCTCAAAACTTGCCACGCTTGAGAAATTAACGCTCACTTTGGCATAGGTCACATCAAGTAATTAGAAGTGCGAAGAAGTAATTAGAGACGCGAGGAAGTCTGAAGCCCCCAGGTACTTCCATAAGCAGAAGCGGCGAGGCTTTGCTGCCTCCTGCCCGACCGCCGCTAGAATATTGTAGTCAATTGGAATCGCATCTTTTGACTGTGCATAGTCCTATTACTTTTTTAACCAAAGAAATTTTTGTCGTAAGGTGTCGTGCGTGATAAGGACTCATGTCTCCCATTTTCAATCTAACGCATTCCTATAGAGCTTGATTTATACCGCTATATAATCGACTTTGTTTCAGTTCCGTTTTTTGTCCATCTTCCACTCTTGTTTTTTTGTGCCCTATAATGATCTAAAATGTTGATTCAGCTCAAAGTTATTCCTGATTTAATAGCTTTTGGAGCAAAATAAAGTTGTGTCAGACGTTCGAGAGGTTGCAGAAAAAGCCTTTTTCCTGGTGTGGAAGTGGGTGTTTTTGATTCAAGCTTGATCAATGCGCAGCTCAGGTCCAGCAGATCATACTCTATAATAAAGCGCAGGGGGGACCATGTGACTCATGCGTTTGTCGCTATGTCTCGAATGCACCCAATGCACCCAGGATGTCTGCCTTCCGAGATGTTGACTGGAATGCCCTTTCGTGCTCAACTCCATAAACAGTACTATCGATTAGCATTATTGTCACCAAGTAACAGCTCGCTTCATTTCAATTAGCGCATTAGGATGTGTCAACTTTGGTATCAATTTATTTTAGTTGCCAATTTCTATAACTTAATTGTACAAAAGCACTGCTTCACAAAGTTGTAAGTGGTGCAGCAGAAATCCCAGATGGGATTTACCCTCATGAAAGTTCTCGATTTTGATACACCAACAGCCGTATTTTTAGTATTTGTTTAACATTTCATATTGTGAGCAAAATAGTGGGATTCTGGCCGCATTGTAACTAAAGGGAGTGTGACAGGCTAGAAAGGCTTTCAAGGAAATGGGGGAAAATTGAAATATGGCAGATGAAGTTTCGTGAATGGAAGTTAAATCGTAAGCACTTACATAAAGAGTCTGAGGAAAGGAGGCGGGGTAGGATGGAATTTTACTTATTGACTTTGAGGTTAAGCGTAGAATTCTAATAGTAGAAGTCGAACTTTATTCGAAAACTTGGTAAAGGATGTTTGAGCTGTAGGTGCGATTTGAGAGGGAAGAAGAGGGAAATGCGGTCCCTCCTCATGAGGAATTACCGCAGGTGGAGCTTTTGGTAGAGTAGAATAGCCTGCACCTTAGCCAGCAAATTCTGTGTGGTACTGTATAAAAAGCTGAATTTTGGCGAAAAGCGTAGGCATACTTTCGATAAGCAACTTTAAGGTTACGCACTGTGATGGCAGCGTCAGCAGAAGGAGAACCCGAAAAGTAGGACAATAATTGCAGAAATGTTCAAAGAGTTTCTACTTAGAAAAAGTTTTAGAAGATAATAAGTTTTTCTTCTAGAAAACTCTATTGGAAACTGCTTAATTATTTCGTTCGTAACCTTCCCTCTCTATTCTCCGTAGGTAGGTAACTAATGGGGAAGAGGCTGGGGACAGGGAAAGAGAAAAGCAAAATCCGCTCAAAACTTCAAACGCAGGAAATTTGCACACATGAAAGTGATATTTACGTTGTTCCGTACCACTAGGGTGCGGGGAGCTGGAGAGAGGGGAGGAAGGGGGAGGGGGAGGGAGAGAGGAATGTACTTGGCATGAACAGAAAAACCTGGAGTGGAGTCAAGCAAGTTAGTGGCACGCTTCCGTGAAAGTTCTAGCATTGAGAGGATTTTGATGAAGCTAACAGCATGTGGCGTGCAGCTATTTGAGTCCAAGTCTGTTAAGGACTGTTGGAGTTTCTTATGAGCTAAAGAGCTAGGGGCTAACTTACCACTCTTCAGTGCTTTCTACTTAAAAATTTTGCGTACTTGAAAGGCATTATGCTACATGGGGTTTGTATTCTGTACCAGTAAGGTGCGGGGGGCTGGGAGGGGCGGGGAGGGGGGGGGGGGATGGGACGAGGGTAGGGGTGGGGAAGAGAGGGAGAGAAAGGTACTATGACACGGATATAAAAGCCCTGGAGTGGATTCAAGCATTTAGTGGCACTTAATCCGAGTTAAGAAGATTGTAGTGAAGCTAAGGTAGCAGTGGCATGGAGCTATTTGAGTTGTTGAAGAGTTAGAGAGCTAGAAAGTAACTGACTACTACTCTCTACACGTATATACCTAAAGTTTTTATGCTATACTTTTGGCTACGAAAAGATTTGAAGACAAAACTTCACAAGTTCTAGCCTTTGAACACTTCTCACTCCACAAGCACAGCCAGTTCAAAGCGCCGCGAAGCGGCGCATTGAACTGGTATGTAATATTTGACTACTTGCGGAACTTGAAAATTTTCTGATTGGTTTCAAAATATCTAGTATGGATCACTTAGTACTGGTGCAATTACTGCTCTTCTTAATGAAAAAGCGTCTTTTGTAAATTTGATCTTCATCTTAGATCATACAAAGCAAAGTGCCTTCTTCCGTCATACTGGAAATCACTTCAAAAGTCATGGTCAGACAGGGAAAATACCTGCAAAGTTTTGAACAAAGCCTTTTACTCTTCTGTTCCTCTTCGTCTTGAAGAATTACGTAAATTTACAACACTTTAGTAACCCATAGTTATCTGGCAAAGCGTCACAAGATTAGTGGGATCCGGCACAAGCCGAGAAAGTTTGGCCGTTACAGCTTTTTGTAAGCTTACCAAACTGATTGGCTTGCCAGAATCTCAGAATTTTGTTGGCGCGTGAAGTGCTGCGTTCTCTGTTAATCATTCGATTAATTCTCATTTATTTCCATGCCATCGCGTATTCGCATCTCTCGCTTCACACCTACCACATCCTCATAAAATTCCACCGCAGCAAATTTTCTTTAACGATGATTGCATCGTAAAGCTGTCCTACACGTCCGTAAAGCTGTTGTCACCCCCCCCCCCCCCAAAAGCTCGACTTTTGAAGGATTTCTTTGACATTTGCGATTGGTTTGTTCAGAATTGTAATTTCGTAGCGAGAAATAATGTCATCTTGTATATGTTATCATTCTGAACATTTCTAGTTGAGCGCCACTTCGCAAACTGTTGTACATCGAGCAAAATGACGGATTACATGGCGCAGATGCTCAACGAGCTGATGGGGCCTCAGCGAAACTCGTTACCTGGAGAGGTATCGGCTTTCTTTATATAATTTTGTTATTCATGCGTGATCATACGACTGAAGAGCTTTTCAGGGTGGTGCTATCGACTTCGACCATCCTGATGTTTGCCGTGACTTCTTAGTCGGCTTCTGCTTGGCTGAAGCTTTCCGCAATACCAAAAACGACCTAGGATTTTGTCCATTTGTAAGTTTTATGCAATTTGAAGGCAGCGTAGGCAAATCTGGACATACGGGGTTCTGATGTGGAAAGTAATTTTGGGGCCCTCACTAAAGCACTGCTCAAGGGGCAGCTCAAACGGTGAGCTGACCGTTGAACTGATCGCGCGATGAATCCATGCGAATACGATTCCGGGGTCCAGTTTGGAGGCGAATATCTCAACGGTGAGCTCACCATTTGAGCTGCCCCTTGAGCAGTGCTTCAGTTAGGGCTCCAAGATTACCCTCCAAGTGAGATCACCGTAAGCCCAGACTTGCGTGGACGCTGCTTTTAAGAGCGAAGTCATGGAAATGTTTTAGCCTATCCACGACGAAGCTCTCAAGAAACGATACCAGGAAAGCCACCGATATGGGCGTCTTGGATATGAGGAAAAATACTTGGAGAGAGTGAGTGAAAAAATTATTCTTTTATACTCATTTTCAAATTTTGGCCAAATTCTTTTCACAATCTTTTCAGCTCAATCGTATGCACAACGAGGTGCGCAGGAAAATTGAAAAGAATGAAGCTCGTCTCGAACATACAAGAGGTAATTGAAATATTTTTTAAAGCAAAATAGTTAAGAATCTAGGGCGGAGTGTAGGAAGTTTGTCCGCTGCTTCAGAGCTCTGAGCAAATTTGAATCGTTTTTGAGTTAGTTACTTTCAGCAGACACGCATGTGTCCAGTGAAGTATATGACAAGAAGAAGAAAGATATAAATGAAAGAAGAGAAGTGCTTGGTAGGAAAATCGAAGGATTAATGCAAGAAGCTGAGGTAATAGTTTGCTTTCGCTGTACTTATCTGATCGTATCTGCTTTTCTAGATTGAGGGACAGCAGGGGAACGTTGGAGCAGCTCAAAAAGCTGTGCAGAAGGCGGATGAGTTTGCGGTAAGTTTTTGCCAGGAAAGGGCAATATTTGGAAATGGTATGTTGAATACATGGTCTTAATTTGAATGATTGCAGAAAGAACGAGAAACTTTGAGAAGGCAAGAGGAGGATTTAGAGCTTGAGAGGCAGAAAGCGATTACTATGGAGGAGCAACTTACAGCTGGAAACAAACAGATGCAAGTTTGTCAGGTAAGCAAGTTAGGATATATGATAATTTTGATAATCACCTGTATATGCTTCATCCTTCTAATGTGCATTCTCGTCCACGTTAGCTGATGATCGCAAGGTTTTTTTTTCTCTAGACTTTGAAGGCACCTTTCCAACGAATTTGAGAGAGAAATTCTGATAAGTTACAATAGCGAGATCCCTAATCAAGTAAATTTCTAAGTTTCGATAACTTGTATTCAGAATGGGAAAATTGCTCTAGAATGTGGATGCTGGTGGAGTTGCCACGCTATCAGCATGAGTGGTTTGAAGGCAGTGAGCCCGAAACTGAACTTTGTAAACTAGCTGTGTCGGAAATCCAAATTGACAGCAGCAGATTTTTGAGATTTCTAGAACTCCTGAGTCTAGTTTTATCGCCTCTGGACCATTCTCATCGATGGGTACAACCGCAGCAGTATCCACCTTTTCGAGCTGTTCTCTCGTCGAAATAAACTTTTGATCGGGACTTGGGCAAGCACGAAATCAGTGACGTTGTTATTGTACTGCAAAAATACAAATCTCACCTCAAGTTTGGGTGGACGGGCCTTAGATATAGCGATGATGGGGAAAATTCGTGATATCTCAGCTTTTTTGGTTTCATCATTCTGCGTGATTATTGTTATGTCTCATAGGTGTGCGGATGCTTTATGCTCACGAATGACGCTCAAAGCAGGATTGATGATCATCTCAGTGGCAAATTGCACATCGCTTACACGAGGATAAAGGAACAGATCGACCTTATGAACAAGGCTAAAGAGGAGAAAAAGCTACAACTGGAAAAGGAGCGTGCTGCAAGAGAAAAAGATGAGAAAAGACGAGATGATCGCCGAGACGATCGCGGTAGCCGCGATAGAGAACGCGAAAGGGACAGAGATCGCAAAGAACGTGATGGAAGAAGAGATCGTAGCAGAGACAAAAGGAGGTTAGTGAATTTGTTTTGTAACCCTTTTGGTTGCGTGAGCACCTAGACATTTTGTTATCAGTTTTATAATGCTGATTCGTTTTTTTAACTTTCGGTACTTGTTTATTCGCTTATGATATTAAACCTTTGCAGTTCTCGTCGTTCTCGAAGCCGTGATCGCGACAGGGACCGCCGCGACGATCGTCGAAGTGAGCGTCGAGATAGAAGTCGGTCTAGGGACCGGAGGGTAAGTGTATGCTATACTTTGCGCTTCCATAAATTTGGTTTCTTGTTGTTACAACTTTTATCTATGTCAAGCTTTGTCCACTAAATTTGTGAGATGATTGAATCAGTAAAAGCTATCTTTCATACAAACCGCAAAAGTTCTTGCATTTTTACAAGCAAATTGTATGGTGCTTTTTTGTTCTATGTTGAGATTGTTTGTATTTTTGAATGAAATGTATTTTTTTCAGCGCCACTAACATCCATCATCACCGTTCCCGGTATTTCAATCTCATCTTTATTTGTCAAGGTTAGTCCCCACCAGGTTAGTCCGTTTTCGATCTTTCCAACCATACACATGCCCATGACCACACACACCTCCGTCTTCTCATTTCGCTGAGGCTGCATTCCAATCGAGATATCTGTATCCCCACATTACTACAGCGGATTTCGAGTTGAAGTTAGTTTCATCTAAGATAAGAACTGCTACAACTAGGACAGAGCTCTTGTCATATTTAGGAACAGTACCCTAGCGGTTAGTTTGAGCGTAATATTCTGTGTGCTAAATTCGTTCCTCCAGTACTTATTGGTAATCCAGTTAGGCATATTATTTGGAAATCTAATTGTCGTTCGCTATTTTCAGGGTCGACAGGCTACGTCCCGCTAACAGGCAAAAGAGCTCATTCTGGTATTTCCCTTTTTTTTTGTCTTCGAGGTTTGGTCTGCATAAAATGTTGTTTGTTGTGATTCAATAAAGATATAGAAGTATTTTTACACTTGTTAATTAGATCATAATTTTGTCTTGAACCATGCTCTTTGTACATATAGAATGAGTTCTTATCTACTTGTAAAATTCAAAATCCTTGCCAGAGTTTGCGATAGTTTCCTTCTCACGGCTTGTACACTGCGATGCGTCTGAAAGCTGCTGTGTAATTTGCATAGTTTTGTGCGTTTGGTAGATCCAATTCGCATGTATGTGTCTTTGCGTTTTGAAAGAGATAGCTTTACTCTACCGGGTTTCTTCAAAATTGTGGGTGCGTATCTTGCAACGGTAACTACCTTTCTTTCTTCCAGGTAGATTTCTCATCTGAGTCGGTCGTTCTCCAAATTACAGAGTTACCTGGTTAGCTGATTGAGGAATATCACAATTTATGTGAGTGAACAGACACTCAATGTCTTGTCTTACTTATGGCGCTCATTTTTGGTTGTTAGCATCGATACGTAATGACAGCCATGATCATGCTTTCGAGTGTCGATGAATCTTGGCATTGTAGAGATTGTCTGATTATTGCTTCATGTGTGAACAAGACTGGTACAGCAGTATTTACCAAACAGAAAGTTTCGGCGGTTTCGCCTTCTTCAGAGACTGAAAATGTCAAACCACATCAGTAACTTGACCAAAGATCTGGTCGTGCACACAAGGAGCGCTCTCACATGGGAAGGATACTCAGCGAAGAGGCATTTCCATATGAAATGTATACCATCTTATAGAGCATAGGACGCTGGTTCCAAATCTGCTTTACGTAGTTGCAAAGCGCTTCTGAGAGGGGAGTTTTGGGAATTTTGGGGGTACAAATTGAAGGGTTTGCCTAAGCTAAAAAAATGTTTTGAGGTCTCTGCGGTGCTTCAAAGGAGCATTGACTGACATGAGTTTACTGACTGAAAATACTTACTGCATAGAGGACCGTGGAAGTAATCATGACTTCTGTATGATTTTACTGTAGCGGCGCGTGCAAATTTTTGCAGCAAAAAATTCCCATAACTTCCCTCTTAGAGGCGCTTTGCAGATAGTGTAAGCAGACTTGTAAACAGCTTTCTATCTTATATATAAAGCTGAATGTTTGTATGTATGTATCTATGTATGTCTGTACGTATGTGCGGAATAGAAATTTTTATTTCTGAACCGATTTGGGCCAAACTTGGCACACATACATTTCGGGGCAGGGAGCGTGTCATAGGCTACTTTTCGTTATCGATCGATATCGATTTTTTTGCAAAATTTGAGCTACGGGGTTGGGAGTTGGCACAGGGGGGTAATCGAGCTTGCAGATTACAAATATGTTATTAACAGGGCCGGGCGGAGCCGGGTTTGCCAACTAGTGCTCTATAAGATAGTATGTAGTTCATATAGAAAGCCCACTTTGACCAAGTATCCTTCCTATGTTGGTCTTCCAAAGCATTAGACCTTTGTGTGTAAAGATTGATAGCTTACTAATGGGTATAACTTTTCCACTGTCTGACGAATGCGGAAGCGCTGAATCGTCAATCTGTGTGTGCAACAAATACTGATGCAATGTGGTTACCCACAGGGCTCGGCACAGGTGGCTTACAAGCAAGCTGGATATCGTCTTTGGGACGAAAAGCAAAGGGGGTTTCGTTTTTGTGAGCGAAGATATACGGAAAATTGACGACGGCGACTTTTTTTTTTAGTCGACGTTTCGTTTTTGGGGGATTTTCGGAAATTTTTCAGGTTTTTAGAGGAAATTTGGTTGAAAGTCAAAGGGGACTTCGTAAAAATTCCCAAAAGTCAAGGGGTACTTCGTTTTTTCCATTTTCATCTAGCCACCTCGTGCCGAGCCCTGGTTACCCAGCTGAAGCAAACAATTTAAGACGACCTCTCTTCCAGTAGATTCCTCATCTTGTTCTATCATCTCCAAATTACAGCAATTACCTGGTTAACTAATTGAGGACTATCATTACTTATAATAACGGGCTAAGGATGTTTATGTGACTTCGTGTGTGTGGTCTGTTACGAAATTCGTGGAGCCTGTTCCAGCAAATGCAAACGTCCTGGGCCCAAATTTTGCACAGCACATGCTACCAGCACAAAACTCCACCATGAAAAAGCATGAGCGGATTCGTTGAGTGAAACTCACAAAAAACTGCGCGTCAAACGGGTCCACTTCGCTTCTGACCCACAAAATTGGGCCCTATCAGCACTTTTTGCGAAGTCGTTGAGGTATTTGACAAATGTGCAAGCCTTGGACTCTAGCCCAAATAATGGGCAAAAATCTACTACTTTGCGAAAATGACGCCAAAATGGATTGGTTGCTTAAATGGCCAGTTTGAAAACGTTCTACTGGCGCATTTGAGAAGATTTTTGCGCAGAAGTGTTGTCACGGTGGCCATTGGCCTTATGGCAACTACCAAACCATAAAAAATCCAGGAACCCACTCAAATTTGCATTTGTTCTTCGGCGAAAAGTTCCATCCTCGCAAAATCACCGATCTCACATGAAAAAGCTGTTGAAATGAGTTTGTTAAAATGAGTTGTTCACATCCTATTCGTGGTAGTCGGCCACTGCGCGGTGAGTTTCATTGCCATCATTATGGGAAAGTAATGAGGCATATGGATAGTAGAGCCAGTGCGAGCCTTTGCGAAGCAGAGGTGACGCACTGGTAAATATGAAAAGAAAGATATTTTATAGATATAGAAACATATTTTTCAGCCTAAATTTTGAAGTTTTCATCCTGGGGCAGAGAAGATAGAGATATTTTCATCATAAATACAAAATATTGGTTGTAATTTCAAGAGGTCTCAAATATTACAACATAGCTCAGTCATGATGTATGAGAGGTAGACGAGTAGGTGCAAACATTGGAATTTTCTTCATTCCAACGCATAAACTTGCATATTCCTTTTCATCCTCGTCTCAACTATGAGCAGTGGTCTTGAGTTCTGGAAGGACTTGATGATCGTCAATGACCTCAATACTTCTCATGTATACCTTATATTCTTCTCGCATCTCCGAATCCAGTGATATCGACAGATGTCTTTGAGGATTTGTGATTGTGGCTGGCTCCCATCTCAAAGCTTTTTCACTTGATGACAGTATGACGTCATTGGCAACCCCATTTGGATTGCTAAAAACCGACTTATGTTAATTTGGAAGTTATTTTACTTCTGAATCAACTATAGCTGGTTTCAAAAAATACGCAAGATTTATATGAAGATCTTACCCATATTTGACAAAATTTGTCCACAGTTTTGTTGTTAGTTCTAACATTTTCTTGTCATCGTCATTAAAATCGTAATTCCAGATGATACCAACACCGAATATATAGCCCAGCTCCGTACAGTGAGTGGCAGCTGGATATCATCGGATATTCACTTTCTAAATTTTGAAATAAGTAAACAATTTGGACGTACCTTTGAAGAGCATTTTCATGCCCAACGGTCCCCAACTCTTTGGATTGAAATAGTTGAATGAGTACAAGAAGATGGGAGCGTGATGTGCTTCCAGAGTCTCGAGCACAGTCTGTTGCACACCGATGTTGGTGAATAAGTCGCCCATTATCTAAAATTGGAGCAGTGGACTTGCGGGGTAAAGTAAATTGTGAAATAAATGTCGGTAGGGATATATATATATATATATATATATATATATATATATATATATATACCATGCATACCCAACATGCTTGAGAAAGAATGATAGCTAAATCCATGATTTCATATTCTGTTCGAATTGTATGGCAATGTCTTTCTGGCAAAAAAATACTTCTTCGGATTCGACCTGACGTGATTTCAAGGCTTATTTACAAGTGCCTTGGAATTTTATTCCCTTAACGTAATAAAAAATTATTTCTCTATGAATTTGGGTTCTATTTCGACATTTTTGACACGCCTCAAAAGATACAGAATGAATGATTAGAGTGAATGAATAAATGATCATATAATATAAATAAATATATAAAACTATGTAATGCGAAATGATTGTTTTTTCATGGTCTGGCTCCTCAAGAATAGTTGAATCACTTGCAAACTCTATATCATTTTTGAATCTGCAAAAATTTTCTAACCTCAGTGTAAGCTCTCACAATTGCTTCCTGGTTTGTGATGTCTTCATCTTTGAGCACCTTTTGGAAGATTCCTCGTCGTAGTTTTTTGAAGTTGGAAGGATGATCTTCTTCAGGCACTAATTTTGCGATTTCCTCCATCAAGCCGCTCAGCGAAGGGTGTCTGCCGAAAGCTAAATAAATCCTCCTTATTGACTGGGAATTGATTCGGAAAAAATGTCCCAGAAGATTCTTTGACCATTCGTGTCACTTGGTGCATAAAAATTAGTGTTCTTGTTGGTTCGTTGGGATTTTTACTCAACAAACGGATAACGAATAACAGACCAGGCGTTCTCCTGTTGGCAATGCACCATATTTTTTTTGTTTTGCAGTTCTCTTGAGTTGGGAAGAAGTAAGACTTACTCATGAAAATTCCTTCCATATCACAGCATCCGATAAGCATGGGTTTCACAACAGCTTCTTTCCGCAGCTCCCGAATGGGCTGAAAAGTACATAAGTGTCTTACTGCTTTCTTGGATGAAGAGAAACATTTCCTAATGAAGGGAAACATTTCCTAGCTGACCTTCGGAATGAAGTCCCCATCAACGCGTGGTGCTACGGCGCAGAGTGCCGTGCTGTTGGATTTCGCAAGACTCTCATGCATTGAAAGCTCAAACTTTGACTCCGGTAACTGGCGAAGTTTGGCGATCATCTAAAACGCAGGTTTTTGGCTAGTTCAGCTTTACAAATTTACCGGTTTTCTTGAAATTATTACAATTGATAAGCTTTTACTGTCTTCAAGTTGTCAATGATTTCTTGAATTTCCGAAGACGAAGCATTCAAAATTATTTACATAATTCTTCTACTCGAAAATAATGATTATAGCTTAATTGTGTTTTCGACGAACTTTTTCTTGACGTTATTTTTGGCAGGTAAATTCTGAAACGATGAGATGGACTACTAGGGGATGTTGGAAAAAGGTCTTTTGGCAATCCGCCTTTATATTTCTGAATCGGTATTTTTGGTTGAACAAATTTAAATCCGCTGTATACACGGTAAATTTGCAAAAAATTACCGCTTCGCTATCGAAAAAGTCAAGAATCCCCTGAGTTTCTGCGAACTTTCGACATCTTTCAACCATATCATTGTCGGTTCCCCATGAGCAACTTGCATTTCCTGCCATCGGTATAACTTGGTGAAATAGATCTGAAAATTACATTGTTTCGTGGAACCATCTTAATCTTTTGATCAAGACCAGCGCCACCAAAATACTTGCTTTATCCGCACATCCACTTGTGTTTATAGTAGTATCTCCAGAGGCAGACGAAAGAAATCCCCAAAAATGACATTTCTCGTGGCTTTTCTAATCACTGAAGCGCAATATCTTTCAGGTATGTAGTTAGCGGCGAAACAAAAACTAATGTAAATAAGATATTCGAAAAGGGTTTTAGAGAAAGTTACAGAGTCAGGAAGGTGTTTGCAAAACTCTTTAGAAGAACCTTATGTGAAGCCCTGTATCTTACAACTTGATTATTTTGTTAGAGAAATTTTGAACCAACCGCTAGCGGAACAAATATATTTATACTCATCTTCTTTCAATTTTCCCATATACAAATGAGTGGGTATCCATTACATAATTTACATTTGCTCAAAAAGATTAAACGTTTCCCTCTAAGCCACACATTTTTGGCGCAACCATATGGTAGATTGAGGCTGTTTACCAAATTCTTATCTATAAAAGTTTATAAGTTGATCTAGTCGCTTGCTGATAATCTGAATAGCGAGGAAGGTGGACGAAAATAAGATAACATGGAGCAACGAACAGTTCCAGTGGATCTAAATTGAAGAAGAAGACCATAACAAGCAAATTAACAAATTCGAACTTCACTTCTGGAGTTATCTCGAGCTATTCGACCAGGCTTGGAACAAAATGCGATTTTTGCTTGAGTTTCGGGTATGGTACTTATCTTTTTGAATAGAACCGAATGTGCAGTATTTTCGAGCTAATTCAGCCAGTATTCTGGAATTTTGCTGTCTACGGGGAACAGAAGTAATAACTAAAAAATCTGCCGTAAAAATCAATCGGAATACAAAATGTTGGAAAATTCACCTCTTGAATGAGGAGAGAGGCTCAATATATCCACTGAGGCGCCACCAGCCGATTGTCCCATTACAGTGACACTGTTTGGATTTCCATTAAAGGCCGAGATGTTGTCCTGAAAAAGTTCACGCCTTCTTTGACTTTTAGCTAAATAATTCCTAATAACCTGAACCCATTGCAGAGCCATGGTTTGGTCCCATAAAGCAAAATTCCCAGGGCAAACTGCATCTCCGGTCGTGAAAAAGCCAAGATAACCAAGGCGATATTGAATGGTCACGACCACAACGTCTTTTGTGCACTAAAAAAGGAAAATTATTGAATGAAGAATGATTCATTCAGATCAAGGGAGAGAAGATAGCTACCAGATGCTCGCAGATGTTTGAATCTCCATATTTGACTGCTCCATCACCCACAAATCCACCTCCGTGCACAAATACCAGAACAGAAAATCCTTTAGGCAGCTCAGGCCCCCAGACAGGGGTAAAAACGTTGAGGTAGAGATTATCTTCAGATGTTTTTCCATACTGTAGAAAAATATTTTGAATTTCTAGGGAAAAACACCTTTCAGTACTAAAAACCTTTATTCTGTCATAGTAGCTTTCTTTCTGTATCCCTCGTGGTCCAAATGCCTTTGTCTCCTTCACTCCTTCCCAAGGCTCAGGAGGAACAGATTTCTAGGAGATAGGATATAAGAATAATTGAAAGTAGGCAAAATTTGGCAATCACCTTGAATCTCAGTTCTCCTAGAGGAGGTTTTGCAAAGGGAATTCCTTGAAAGGCATCTACCTTGAATTTCAACATCAGTCTTTGTAATGTCCACCATAATCAAAAATTATCGGAACCTAAGATATCTTTGGACAACGCCTACCTCCTTGTCGTTGAATTTGAATCGCCGACCTATAACTGCGCCATATTTGGTTTGAACTACCCTGGAATCTCCTTGTGCTGGATGACTTGCTGCACCTCCCATTGTAGCTCTGTGAGATTTACGATTTTCATGGAATCTTGCATGTTTTACACTATAAGGAGCTAATTTTGCGAATTATCAAATTGAGAAATAGCGAGGAAGAGGATGCTGTGGTATGAAAGTAAAGCTTGGAAGTTCAGCTGACTAAATTTTTGCATAGCAGCATGAATGCACTAGTTTTGATTCAACTGGCTTGGCGGCTGGAGGGCGGGGCTTCGTGACCTAATTAAGGCTAGGTGGTGATCAGAGAGCACGCGAGCGAGGGAGATGCAGACTGCGTAGCGGGCGCGGCTTCGATTAGGTCACAAAGCCCAGCCCCGCCTTCCAGCCGCCAAGCCAGTTGAATTGAAGGTTATTGTGTATAAATGCACCGTAAAAAATAGCGTGTAGTCAACATAATTATAAATATTGTAAAAAAAAGATCTGTAAGAATTACTATTGTATAGCGAAAATATTAAAATTTCAACTTTGAAACTTGGACATTAATTTGAATTTTCTAAAATAATAGCTAGAACTGAGCTTATAAATTCAAAATTCCTGCAAAGTTATGCAAAAAAGCAAACATCTCTGTCCAAATGTGCGAATATATTCAGAGCTCAATGTTGCTGGCAGAATGTTAGACTTTACATAGGAGGAGGGAGAGGAAAAGAAGGACATTTTGAAAAAAATTGCTCACAATTCTTGTAAACTTTTAGTTGAGATTTTGCTCTCATAGATCGCAATAATCGATGTGCGTCGTGTGTGGAATAAAGAGGTACTAAAAGTTCGAGCCGCTTTCAGGAACTTCATATCTCATCGATATCCTAGAAATATTATAAAGACAAACACTTTAAGATGTGTTTAACACTTCCATCTTTTCCCAGGAGCTACTTTTTTTTGAATCGGCTCTATTGATGTTCGCTCGTACAACTTATGAAGTTTTAATCTATCGTTTTTAGCTTGTCTAGCTTGAGTTATGCACATTTATTTGGTTTAAGTTATACGAAAAAGTCGACCTGCACTTTCGCAAATTTTCTTTGATGCAATGCTTTATTTCTTACATAGTCAAGTACCGTTTTGAGATACTAAATGATAATTTCTAGGAAGGTGACTTTTAGAAGATGCGCAATACGTAAAAGTAAAAAACTAAAATACTGATTGCAAAGTCTGGCTTATTCATACGAATTGACTCACAAAGTAAAAGCGCTATCGCTGAATAAAAGGTTGCATTGAATAGTACCTGGTTTTTGTCTACAACGCTGTTCCGCAAGTTTGGATAGACTTGACTGGATAGACATTTTATCACTTTACGTTAATTTAGTGAATTTCTGAAAAGCCAGAAGAAAGTAAGAAAAGTATGTTATCGGAGACTGTTTGCTCTAACTAGATGTTTACTTGCTTATTTTTTACCCAGTACTTTTTTATGATAGCTTTTTTTTCTTTGCTCACTGGGTGTGTCGAACAAACGACCCAATCATACCCACGAAGAAATTATCACAAAACAAAGAGAGACAGAAACTAATTCATCAGTAGACTTGCGAACCAGTCTGTGTAAAACTTATCACAAAAGGAAATAAGACAGTTTTAATATTAGATCAATATTTTATTTTCGAGAAAACTTCAGCGTATGACCATCCCTATAAACATTTTGCATGATTATCTGCAAGCCTTCCTCAGAAAGTACGAGCATTGGACATTGGGAAAGTACGAGCACACTTTTCTCATGCTGAGTCCGGTACTCGGATTGAAAGTGGAGTATAAAAAATGAAGCAAAAACTGTGATAATATCAATGATGGAGTAATGCATAATATCGCATAATGCAATTGCTCACGGATTTTGAATCATAATTCTAGCTCATTTGTTCATTCTTGTTGAAGGCAAAAAAATCATCTATTCTCACAAAGAAGCTTATAATTACTAAGCCAGTAAAAAATTGAAAAAAATGATCAATTGTCTAAAATTCGTCGCGGTTTCCGACAATATAAGCCTAGTACAATGATGGAAGGACGTAAAAATATTGCATCACATTGAGGCAGGGCAGACATAGCTGTTCTTCTGCCAATCTACGATCGAATTTGAACGACAGTTAGATGGATTCGTCATGCGCGAATGATGCATTATTTGCACTATGATTTGTGACTGCAGGACTTGGTTAGCAGAAATAATCCAGTACAGGAAAACATCGGTAGCTAGGGGGAATGTTGCAAACTTCTTTTAAGTTTGTTCCATGTATGGGACATTATCGCCAGGCGCTGGAAAAGCTGGCACCCTACGACGGAAAAGATAGCAAAGTGAATTGTTTGCGCGCATGATGGGGTTGTTTACCTGCCAGAAGATAGCATCACGTGATAGGCAGTATAAGTGCTTTCGTGCTGTGCTTTGGGTACATAAGGGTTGAGGATACTTAATTTGACGCCTCGACGATACTTTCGGGTAAATGCAGTCAAGAAGTAATTCAGGTCTCTGCTCTCAACGCCGTAGCATGTTTGTGGGTGTGATTGGGCAGGTTCATAAAACGCCGGACTTGCAGCTAAAAATTACCAGCTCTCTCAAACTCCCAGTAGAATATAAGAAATTCTCTACAGAATCGTATTAGGCTGACACAAAACAATGGGCGCATTTCTACGCTCCATTTCAGCTTGTGATTTGGAGTGACTATGCTGCATCGAAGCAGACTACACATTAGCTCGAAAGTCCCGGTGTGCCTAAAAATTCTACCTTTTGTAGGTGCTTATTGAAGCTGAATTTCATTGAAAAAGTATTCGCTTGTTCGTGATTCATCTAAACATAGTCGGCAGGTGTCTATTCCTACTAATCAGTCTTAGAATCTTGCTATCCTTTGAAACAATTTATTGTTGGGTAGGGTTCGCTAACTTTTAACTCGGGGCTCGCTGACACCAAAAACGTGTTCATTATGAGTTTCAAGATGCAAGATTCTTAAGATTATGCTTTAGATGTAGTACAGGTTTTTTTTTATTTTGGGCTTAGAGCTTCGTGCCTTGTTATGTATCATTTACTCTTTTGTCTCTGAAGGCGGACTGACCTCGTGCGCGTTTAACACATTCACGACAAGACCGTTTTTCGATTGCTGCTGTTTCGGACCAAGCCTTTTTTGCTTTGTCAAAGTTACGACCCACCCATGGGTCGTATTGTCCGGAATGGTAGTCTTTTTGGAAGAATTTCAAAACATGTCTCCGAGAATTTCTTCTCAAGGATTATCGAAGGCGCTGATTACCAAAATATGATTTATTTCAGTTGGCGGTATACGGTAAGGTTACGTTAGTCATTTTGTACGAACCCAGCATCATGAATTTCCATGAAAAATTGTGTCTTGGGGTTATTTCACGTGCTGATCACGATTATAGTGTTCACTTTGTTCACTACTTTCCCACAGTGGGACTACGGTAGCAGTAGGTAAAATTTTCGTAGGAATTAAACTGATATTAGAAGGCGGTATTAGAACTTTAGACTATCATTTTCGTTATCAGCATGCTAAAAAAATATAGGTAAGGTTTGAGCTTCCTGGGATGAACAATGCGAAAAATCGATTAAATCGCTAATTTTTGATGAGGTGACATCAGTCTCATGCTCTCCCTGCATGACTCGTGCATGTAAACTTGAATTTTCAAAAACAACACCACTCTGCGAAAAATTTGAGCTAAAGTCTGTGTTTTACCTCTATCTACGGTATACGTACCGTAACCTTACATTACAATATACAGGGTGTCCCAAAAAAATGTGCCTACTGTTTGATTGTTAATAACTTTGGTAACGAAGTCTTTCGAAAAGCTTTAGGTACCATTTTGTAGAGCGAGGTTAAACTTAGATTTACTGTACGGAACGAATCATCGATCGCTCTTCATTACTGTAGGATTATGGTAAGAACTTCCAGCATATGGAACCATTGTGAAATATAACACCCAATGAAAATTTTTCCAAAAAATCTGAAAAATTGTGTACTAAGGTTTTCGCGCATGCTAATTTCAACTAACAACTTTTTACAAGTGTTTTCATTTTTTTTTGACGGTGTAATTACATTTGTGACAAATGCTGGAAATTGACTGATAACGAATTACAGGGGATAACTTTGGAAAGAAGCACCACAGCAAAATGGGAATATCAAATTCGGAAACAGCGGCTCCCATTACCGTAGTATAAGGGTTTTTGGCTTGTTTGGTCTTGTTCCGAGGCAGACTATAGCCTCCAGCGGCCTAAAATCCTTGTCGAAGTTCGTACCGTAATTATACAGTAATGAAGAGCGATCGATGATTCGCTTTATAAAGCAAATCTAAGTTTAACCTCGCTCTACAAAACGGTACCTAAAGCTTCTCGAAACACTTCATTATAAGAGAGTTATTTACAATCAAACAGTAGGCACATTTTTTTGGGACACCCTGTATATCAAAAAAAGTGAGATAAAGCGAAAGTGATTATGCTTGATTTATATACGGTACCCAAAGTCAGAAAAGAAAACATTGGTCAAAGTAGTCAATTTTACATGCTATAATTCCGATGTCATGTCATATTGGTGTAGTAGTGTCAGTCTGATTTTCAAAACTGAGTACGACTGTTATCTGAGAACATTTTTCCTTCTTCCAAAAATAATAATTTCAGGTTTCTGTCCTATAGCTATTTCTTTGTTGCTCTTTGAATGAGTATTAATTGTGTTCTATGATTTGTAAGGGCGCACTCCTGTGCAATAAATATAATATAATATAATATAATATCCCGAACGCGGACCACTCTGGCTGGAGCTTCGCCAAGGTGTCCCCAATCATGTGCCAGATCCCCGTAGAATTCCATCGAGAACTGGCAAAGCTAGAGCTTTAGGAAACTTACGACCCACCGGTGGGTCGTATTGTCCGAAACGGCAAAACATGTACGACCCACCTGTGGATCGTATTGTCGTGAGTGTTTTAAACTTTTTCTCGTTCCTTCCTCTTGATGCACCTTATGCGTACTTATGAAGTAAAACAAAAATATTGAGGCATTTTCTACAAAATGTCTTCCTTTGGCTTTCACACATGCCTACA